CCCCCCGGACCAAACCGGCCCCCTGCACATCCAGAGCCGGCATTCCGACTCGGATAGCGCACATATCTCAGGCAGTAATATGAATGTCTGATGTGCACTTGGCCCGACTTACTCCTCCGCCACCCTGCTGGCGGCCAGCGAACCCCCTTGCCGCCCAGCCCGGACCTTGCAGTCCACGAGACACGTGCACGAGACGGTGCAGGGTATTTACTAAGGAGGCTAAATAATTTTGGATTGCGTTTTAGTGCTGACTGCTTAGTGCTCATATACTTGATGAACTGGCATTTGTAATCTACGTCCAGATTTAATTTCGCGAGCACAAAACACATAGTCGGCGAGTGCTTTGATGTGCGGATCGGCAGAAATGACCGAACGCAAAACGAGTGAATTATGAGCATTGCAAAAGCGCACGGGCTATTTAGTCGTGGCCGCGTCAGACTTATGCCCAGTCGAATTCACATCGCCGCATTGTTGTTGAAATAAACCTCCTTCCTTGTTCATTTTTAAGAATATTTTGACAAACGATAGATGTTGTACTGACTGGATGAGCGATCGTCGGCTGCAAATTGTTCGCACATATGCTTATATGTCGGAGCGCCGATTGCTGTAGCGGGGCACTCCAGTGACTCAGCCCCCGCTGAGGCCGGTCAGGGAAACAAATATGGGGAAATAAAAAAAAAGGGATTTTTTTTCTGCGCAAAGAGAGTGATGATGATGACATTGCTGGCGCCTCCACGCGTGTTGAATGTTGTGTTGGAGTCTGATGTGGTGCTTTACGTGACTATGCAGCAAAACGGAAGTGATTCACGAGTGTGACTGATGCAGCCGTGACGGCTTGTGTTTCTCTAAAGCACTTTTTTCCGCAACTATTTTGGAAGTGGTAGATTATTTATTCCATCTATATCCATCAGCCCAGCGTGAGCGTCCATCCATTCCCCGCTGTCACACAGGATGCTGACCCCTCCTCCCCTCTCCCCGGGGCCGGTTGTGTGGATGGCAGCGGAAATAAAACAACTCTGTGCTGAGGTCTGATGCTGATGTGTGTCTCTAGTTTTATTATTATTTGCCCTGAGGACACACGGGGATGAATGAGTCGTACGGCTCCGTCCGGGTCCGGGTCGACTTTGAGGAATAAACCAACACACATATTCTCTGCCATGCTCCGCGGAGCAGAAGTAGGCCCGGCGCTGCAGTGGCGGAGGCAGTAGAGCGAGGTGAGTGGCAGCGTACAGGAAGACTGCGACTGCTGGCAGCGAGCCTGATCAGAATGTCGAGCGCGATTGGGCCAGGGAGGTTCCCCGTCGTCCCCGCTGTGGCAGCCCCGCCCGGTGTGACACAGCTCAGGATATGCGTTTATCTGAATAGTAAAGTTGTGGAAACCGAATTTGACATGGTAAGAGTTGTTACAGTTTTTCATCATTCTTATGCGAGCATTTCCGCACACTGGAAAAAATCCGACTCGTAGGAATGCACAACGTCACCCCCGTTTGGATGGGCAAATAGATTCACTCTCTTCATGATGAGCCGTGATGAGCCTACAGTGTCAATTTCCTCACCTACAAGTGTTCGCGAATGTCGCGCAATTGGATTTTCAGTGCAGCGCAGCAGAGTAACGCCTCCGGGCCGACCGAGTTTTCTATAGTTAGACAAGAGTCAGACCAAGCAGCTCCGTTGGTCGGTGTCTGTACGAAGAAAATGAAAATCCGAGTCCGACTGAAAAGGAGGAGCATGGCAGTGGGTGGGAGGTCCTTGTTGGAGCCGGCACCATAGTCGCTTCACAATGCACACAAGTTTTGAGTGTTGTGGCGGAAGCTGCCCGCCCGGGTCACTGCAGCAGCGCACAACACAACAAGATGCACAATGCGGCACCAGACTCTGCCAGGTGGACGGAAGGCTCCACGAAAGAAAATCGCTTCACAAAAAAAAAAAAAAAATGTCAGCCGTGAAATAACATGAATGTGTGGACAAACACGAGATTAATTTTTGTCGGACCACCACTTTTAGTCGCGGCAAAATCTTTATTTTGGAAAAAATTCTCTGCGATGTGACCAAAAGGCACCGCGTTTCAAATGACAGGGAGGAAACTTTCAAAAAAAATTGTTTATTGGACCTCGGACTTTCTCTGGGCGCATGAGAGCTTCGCCTCGCAGTGGTGCAGGCTGCAGGCTGCAGGTGGAGGCTGCTGCGGCGGTGCCGTTTTGCTTCGGACGACTCACTCCACTGGCTTGTGTGTTTACCTCCGGGCGTGACGGGAATCTAATCCTCATCTCGCCTCCCGCGTACCGGGGCGGGGCGACGGAGGTGGCGGCGGCCTGAGCGGTGGCAGGAGCGGTGGCGGCGGGCACGTCGTGTGTGGTGGGGCGGGACGAAGTGGGGCGGTGCGGTGCGTGCCGCGGTGGCTGATGGGATTGGCGGCAGCAAATCACAAGGAGTCCTCCCCTGGTCTGCCGCTGACCCCACAGGCCTCGTTTATGACAGCGCGGGAGGGCCGGGCCGTGCCCACTTATGGAGTTTATAGTCGCGGGGCGGGGACTCCCTACCCTTCCCTGCCATGTGCCTAGTGTTCAGTGAGCGGCCGCGCTCGAGTTCACTCGCCCCGCACAACCGCAGCACCACCACTGTGAAGCGCCGGTCATAACGACTCCATGCCCCCCTCCCTCCCCCCTGGTGTCCTGTCCGGTCCCCGGATGGGGGGCGGGGACTTTAAACTGGCCGGCACGCGCGCCCCGGCCGCCTCCTCCCTTTACCCGTGACACCCTCACATGGCCCCTCATCGTGCATGTGTGCGTGCCGCTCAACTCCTCACCATACGCGCAGTCCATAACGCAGTCCGGCGTGACGCACTCGCTGCAGCGCGGCCGGGCAGCGATAGCAATGTGCAGCCGCAGCACTGCACTGCGCTGCACTGGGCCGGGCGGGGCACGGGAGCAGAGAGCAGAGCAGATGGCACGGACCGATTCATCAGCTCCAAAGCTCCTCGGCGCGGCCCCGCCGCCGCCGCTGGCCGCCGCTCTCCCCGCTCGCGCGGCCGATTTAACAGCCGTATATAGTCCATGAAACAGGACGCACTACAGTTCTGCTTGTCCTGGGGCTGCGCACTCTGGTCGGTCTAGTGCATTACGCCGGCTACCGCAACCTAAGCGTCGTGCTCTCGAAAGTACCAATAGTTTCTTTGTAAACAGACACAGTCGCGAGTTTCAAAGTATGAAAAAAAAATCTATAAGACGATCAAAAATTAAAAGACTTGCTGCTAAGTCGTCTCCTCTTTGACGTCTTGCCAAAGGCCGAAGAGCTATGAGCAGCCCCTACCCACAGCTAGCAAGCCTTGCTCGCCTTATTGCTGGGGGGTACATTAAGCCCCGCTCTGATAAGGGGGGCGCCTGTCTGCTCACCTTGTGTGCGCAGGGAAAGGGGGACGGGGGTGAAAAACGAATCGCCACGCTCTCAGTGTGATGGAGTTGATGATAAATAATGGATGACTATTGATGAGTGGCTGCTGCTGTGTGTGTGTGAGTGTGTGTGCGTGTGTGTGCGTGTGTGTGCGTGTGTGAGGGGGGGAGGAGGGACAAGTCGTTAATCGAGTCAAGCCGCATCGTTTGTTATTCAACAGGCGGGGCGCGGGGGGTCCTTTGTAAGGGAGAAATACGACGGCGCGTGTGAGTGTGTGTGAGAGTGCGTTTGTTTGTAGTGGTGAATTATTCCCGCGCTTTCATCGCAACTAGTGTGTGCTATTTCGAGTAAATCGTTTGTCGCCAAGAGGAGGTATTTTATTCCCAGCCGGGCACACGCCGCGCGACGCGAGGGCCCCTTTGTCGCCGCGTCGCCGGCGGGCCGGGGCCAATTTGCAGCGGCAGGGGTGGGGTGGGGTGGGGTGGGGCGTTCTCGCTGAGAGGAGCGCCTCGCCTCGCTAATTATTATTATATCAAACACAACATCGAACAATAATGAGAATGTTCTCCAGCTCCGGTAGAAAGAAGAAGCACCCCCATAGTTCTTTTCTTTCCCTCCCTCCTGCGCCTCGCGCTACTCCTCATCGCTCTAGAGCGAGATCTCGCGCAAAAATAATAAAACTTTTCATTACTTCTCCTGGAGACGACTGGCTTTTCCTCTCTTCTCTCTCTCTCTCTCTCTCTCTCTCTTTCTCCTTCCTTCTCTGCCGTTTCCGTCTGGCGCCGCACACGAGACCGCCTGCCGAAAGGGGGATAGGCAACCCGGTGCGCACGCGTGTCCACCCTCCGCGCCCATTGCCTACCTCCCGGGCGCCTTCGCCCTAGCCGCCGCCCACAGGAAGCGGGATAGGCAACCCGGTGCCCGCGCGTGTCCACCAGCTGCACCCGCTATCTACCTCCAAGGCGCCCTGGTCTGCGCCGCCTTGCTGCGTCCAGAAACTCTCTCTCATGTTTCGGTCTCTCTTTTGCTTGCAGGCGTACCACGATGAAGCGGACGGCGCCGTCCAGGAGAAGAACGTCAGGCACATAGACGGCTTAGGTGAGTGCCCGGAAACTGCTGCACCTGCCTTTGTCTGTCCCAAACTAAGCACCCGTAACCAGCGGCGGGTTACTAACAACATCAGCAACAACAAGAGCAATACCCCCCCGTCCCCCGTGCTGCCTGGCTTGTGTTCTAACAAACTTCCCGCAGCTGAATGACCCCTATCCTCTCCAGAGTACTAACTTTCTCATTCCAATACAACGCCGGACGCCATATCTAGTACACAAAGGGCGAGCGAGGGAGATAAATCGTTACACGAATTACGAGCGAGAAAAAAAGTATCAGAATGCGAGCAAACCCATAAACAAATCAAACAAACAAAAACTTTAAAAAGTTAGAAATGCGGTGGAACGTGGGGGGGCGCACGGCCAAGCTGACAAGGGTTCAACTAAATAATTCCGAGCGCCCTGAGGTAAGTTTTGTCCATCCCTTCCCTGGCCTTCAATCCCATTACCCATCTCACCCCCCCCTGCCCCGGAGAGCGGCGGCAACAGCAGCGGCACTTCCCCTCCCTTATTCTCCGGCGTCCCACTGTGACCCACTCTCAGCAAAAGCAGCCTAATGGCGGCCATGCACTACCGTGTGGTGCGAGGCGCGTGGCCGAGCAAGGGCAGGGCCGGGCAGGGTGGTTGGTCCTTTACCCGGGTCGCGGAGAGTCGCGTTCGGGTTCGGCGGCCCCCAGCCGGGACTGACCTTTGAACCGTGCCAAGGGTCAAGCACCCGCGTATATGGCTCGAGGTCAACAAACACAAAATGAGGGCCCACACAGAAACAACAACAACATCAACTACAATAATAAAGCACACCGCCTATATACGGCTACGGTGGGGGGATGTACATAATTACTAAAGCCACGGCCGTCTGTGCGTGCAAGGCCGATAAAGTATTCATTCAGGTGTCAGCCGCAGTCGACGTGTCGCCTCGTCGCTGACTGCTCGTCTCGCGTCCGTCACAAATGTCCCCTTCCCCCCCGCCCCCTCCCCCAACCACAACCACAACAACGGCCCTGCCCTATGCGATAATTTCGGCCCGTTTCCACGGTGTGCTGTGTCCGTATCACATCACACACCGGTGTCGTCCGAAAGCAGCAATAAAAGCTTGCGCGCGATGAGATAAACGGAAAAAGACCTCCCCGTGCGACGCGACGCTCTTGATATATTTTTATCGCGGAGAGGGGAGGGGGGTACTCCCTATCCAACCCGTTATATTGCTCCTATATTTATTGATTAGGTTTCGATGCCGTGCCGTGCCGTCGCGACGCGCGTCCGTATCCGCGGAGAGGGTGTAAAAACATACATTGTAGTACATATTAGAGAAAGGGCAATGCGCTCGCGCGGAGATGTCAGAGGGCAGGGGAAAGGGCAATCCACCAGTTTCAAAGATCTGTTCAATGCCTTTTGGCTGTGCTCTGTGCTTGCCGGAGAGCGATGGAAAGACAGAGACAGAGAGCGGGGGGG